GTCCGCTGCCGATCGAGGAGGAGGAGAGCCGATCGTACCTGGAGGAAACTCGGCATGGGATCCTGGAACTGGAGAAACGAGGTTTGTGCCTGTAGGTCGTCGGGAAGTCCTCGCAGCATCTGGAGAACCAATTGGTGTTCGGATACGGGAGCGTCTACATCGTCCAACCAATCCGCAATATTCCTGAGCTCTTGGCAATACGTAGCCATGGGAGTAGATCCTTTGACGGTGGTTCGAAATTGATGCTCGAGTTGCATGGCGCGAGCATGTTTGTTGTCATGAAACAGGTCATGAATCACCGTCCATAGAGCAGAAGCAGTAGAAACAGAGGAAAGAACTAGATCAGAAACTTCATCAGTGATGGTGGAGAGAATCCAGCCCTGGAGGATGGCGTCGAGCTGAAACCATTCATCATCGTCGTCGGAGATGGGAGCAATAGAACCGTTGAGATAACCCTGAAGGTTGAACCGCCGTGCAAGAAGAAGGAACAAGCGGCTCCACTTTTTGTAGTTTGGTTGAGAGAAGCTGAGTTGGATTGGAACATGGAGTTTGACATTAGAGACGGAGAAAGCCAGATGTGGAGATTTTTGGGTGGAGGATTGAGAGGTGATTTCACTTTCGGCCATTGTAGGAGGGGGAGGAAGCTGCCGGCCGTGAAGAGAGGAGGAGGGAGACGGCGGCGCAAGTGGTGGTTCGGCGTAAGGGGAGGGCCAAAACTAGGGAAGATATTTTAGGGTTTTAGTTAGGCTCCGATACCATGAAGAAGTGGTATTTTCATTGATTAATTATGAGAGGAATACATGTATATATATATATATATATATACAAAGTCTCAATCCTAGTTATGTTAGGAGAAGATATTCTAGGAAACTATACAACTATGGAAACAAATCATAATACAATAATATTAAATATATTTTATATATTTAACATTTGGTTCAACATTAAATGCTTCATTAAGCTCAATAGTTATATCATTTCTCATGTACGAAGTTTTTGACAATGGTTTGTTATAGTAAAGTATACCTTGATTGACGTAAAATAGTGTTTTGAAGTGTCAATATATGTGTTGTAGTTTAAAAAAATGTGATTGTATGAAACATGATTTAATTATACACACAAGTGAAAATCTAATAATGTACGAAAGTAATAATGCTACATCATTTTTATTCCCTCCGTCCGAAAATATACTTCATGTGTTGACTTGGCCCGTTTATTAAGGAGTAGTAAAAAATGCTAAATTTTCAAAAATACACATACTATAAACTTTTAGAGCTTCTTTTTCTTTTTAAAAAACAATAAAAAAATAGATTAGTTGCAAAATAGGAAGGTATTTTTCAAATGTATCCTTAAGAAATATCCTGAAAAATACTCCGTAAGAAAAATATTTTAGGATGAAAAAAGTAAAATGGGAAGAACTTTCGTTTCCAACTCATTTTCCAATCCAAACAGTTAATTTCAGGGAAGAGAAAACGCAGCAGTCACTTTACTCACTGCGTCGTTCGCGTTTCGCTCGCTTTGGGGCCCGACGCGGCACATGTTTTTGGGCTCTTCTTCCCCGGCCACTTATAGCTGGAAAAACCTCTTGATCCGATTCATGACTTCGAAACCGCAGCGGGTTCATCGCAGTATTTACTTTCCTCGAAACCTTAAACCCTGATATTATCGCTCCAATACCCGCGCTTTCGGCTTTCTTCATTTGTTCTCTGACGCATTTTGTCGAACAGTTGCAGAAACCTCCTGGCAAAGCGCCGTGAAGAAGGCACGGACTATGGCCACCTCCACCGCCGCCGATAGTTACATGAGAGATGCATTCTCCCATTACACCGATTACCTCAACGGCCTTGTGAGACCCTCTCTCTTTCTTTAAAAAGTATTTGAAATTGAGCTGAGTTTGGATGTGGGTTCTGTGTTTGCTCTTGAAAGTTGCAAATCTTTACTGTTGTTTGTTGTTATATGAAGTGATTTTATACGCCTACACCAGAAATGGGTATAAACGTTTCATTTCCCATAAGTCTATTTAACTGATGAATACTCAGATATGTTTTACTGCATTAACATGTTCAAATGGACTCTTCAGGTTTACAGTCTTAAATGGCTATGACAAATTTTCATCGTGTTGCATTCTAGGACCCTTATATATCGTGACATCTACATATTCTAAAGGGGATGTTCTTCCTGTGCTAGATTGTTGCGGGGGCAACTGGAGTTTTTGCTTCAAATAATGGAAATAAATACTATACATGAATATAATTTTCCAGTCAGACATGTTTCATATTTATTCCCGTTGTTTAATCCATCAATCACTGCATCTTACAGAATGATAAACGAGAAAGAGTGGTAAAAGCAAGTAGGGATATTACTATGAACAGCAAAAAGGTCATATTTCAGGTTCACAGGTAACACAAAGTTTTTATACTGTCAATTCTATGAGTTTATCCTGGATATAGGTTTTCAAGATCAGATGCGTTGTTTTTCTCTTGAAATCTACCTTATGGAATTCTTTTTAAGAAATCAGTGACAGGAACATACCTTTGTCATTTATCCTTTTGGCATGAATTCATAGTGGCAACTAAATTTTGCCATTTGGTTGACACTAAACTTCATGTCAGTAATTGAGTGATTGTAAACTTCACACTGCTCTACTATTATTTGCAGGATGAGTCTGAACAACAAAGATGAAGTTTTGGAGAAGGCTGACAAAGATCTGAATGCTGTGACAGCACAATATTTGTCCCGCCTGGTAAAGGAGCTGCAGGGGACTGATTTCTGGAAGCTAAGACGAGCATATTCTCCCGGTGTGAGTTATTCTAAGCATCTTCTGACACTTTTGTAAGCTTTTCGCTCCTAATTTTTTCGAGTTACCTTTATTAACCTATAAGGTTTTGTTTCCAACTTCCAGGTTCAAGAATATGTTGAAGCTGCCACACTTTGTCACTTCTGCAAGACTGGGAACCTTATAGGCCTTGATGAGCTAAATGCTAACCTGATTCCATTGAGCGCTCCTTCCACTGAGTCTCTGCAGATTAATATACTAGACTATATTTTAGGGGTAATTTGATATTTTTCTTTAAAAAAGTATTCTTCTTTCAGTTTCCTTAGCATTTTTTCAAAGTAAAACCAAACATTTTAACAACTTTCTTTAACAAATTTTATTTTTCCCTAGCACTTTTTTGTGATCCCAACATACCCTAAGTGTATAATATTTTCATTCCAAGCATTTTATTCTCGAGAGATATGGCTTGGAATGGAATCTTTGAGGAAAAGGTGGGAGTTGCATTTGTGGAGGACAAGATGTGTGGAGAGAGATTGATGTGGCTTAGGCATGTGGAAACTGGAAAGGAGCAGTATTCATGCCATGTGGCGAGGTGCGAGGTTGATGGTAGGAGATCTGAGTGGTAGATGTAGACCAAATAAGAGCTGAAGTGAGGTGATAAAGACAGGACTTGAGAGTTCCTGAGATCACTGATGACCCAACTGTAGATTTTGATAGGACTCTACTAATGTGTGTTTTTCGTTATGTTCTTTAAGTTGGGGGTCTTTTGGAAACAACTCTCTACTTTTTCGGTAGAGGTAAGGTTTGCACTCTCATCCTTCCAGATCCCATTTGTGGGATTTTACTGTGTTGCGTTTATTCTTGTTTCATCTCAAAATATGTCATTTCTCATAATTAGAGAATTACATATGTTGGCGGCTTATAATTATTGCTGCTGCTGTTGTTGAATTATATAGTAAATGTACTTTAGTAAAGCTGCTTTAGGACCTTTTCATTTTATTTTTCTTCTTGCATTTCAAAACCACATATGTCGTTCCTCTTGCCTTTTTTCCCGTATAGATCAAGTTTCTGAAATGGAGTGACTGGTTTCATGTTCATGACAAATGTAAACTTGCTTCTATGTATATATTGTTCCCATGCATTCCACACCACTATTATCAAAAGCCTTACCGTTTCACCCTCTACCAAGGTGACCATTTTCTCTCCCCATATTCGACACTGTTAGGATCACGAGTGTGTCCACCACTAGCAGCATGCTCATCCTCACCGCTGTTGAAAGTTAGCCAACTTAGCCCTTGGGTTTTGGTCTTATTTCCATAAGTGTAGATGCTGCTATTTCAACATAAACGAAATATCTATAAACACATTCATCTGTTCGACAAGGCACTTCTGCCACAATTGTTCGTACTGGCAATTTCATGCATTTTATTCTCGTTTAATTTCAAAGTGATGGCAGTTCTCTGGAATAGGAAATTAGTCAAATTACAAATTTTAGCATATTATCATTATTATTAATCTTATCAGAATGTTTTTGTGTATTAGCTCGCGGACTTGACAGGAGAGCTGATGAGGCTGGCAATCGGGCGGGTCTCAGATGGGGAACTTGAATTCGCTCATAAGATTTGTAGCTTTGTTCGTGAAATCCATCGGGAGCTGACACTTGTTGCCCCACTTATGGAAGACCACTCTGACATGAAAACCAAAATGGACACAATGCTCCAAAGTGTAATGAAGATAGAAAATGGTACTCCATAGATGCTTTTTTTTTTAAATTTTATTTTCCAAATCTATTAGGAATAATAATAGTAATAATGTGTTTCGGATTCTAATGATTACCCCTTCTCCTGCAAAAAAAATACTGATCTATGTGGGCAGCCATTAATGCCTCTTTACTTTCTAAGTAAGGGTAATAAGGTTTGCATACACACGTCCTCCCCAGACCCCACTATGTGGACCGCCAATAGATATATTATTTTGTTTGGTGAGCGAGTTGACGTTTTGTTCTATCTAATGATGTGTGTGAATATCTGCAGCTTGTTACAGCGTCCATGTCAGAGGATCTGAGTTTGTTCCCCTTTTGGAATCCGACGGCTCAAGTTTCCCGCCGCTGCCACTTGACATTAACTGATGACGAAGTTCTTAGAGGTCGGAACTCTCCGCGTTCTTCGTGTTTCCTTTTCATCTTTTACTTCATCATGTCTCTCTCTAGCTTGACAATGTGCTCTTGCATTTTGACTAATGAATGACCTTTGCATCAGAACTGTAGGATATGTCTAAGGATGAAAATGTTCACAAACTTAATATAAAGAGATTTTGTAAGACAAATCAACTGTAATGTTGTTTTATTTGAGATTATTTGGCAGGAGTATTATAATTATTTAATTGTTTTGAGTTTTTTTTAAAACATACATGAGCTAAATCACTTGTTGACCCTGTTTATGATAACTGATGCAAAGCATTTATCCAGTTACGATTGGGCAGTAAGGACACAAGTGATTTATAGAATAGTAGAGCGCCCGTTTGCATTTTTTAATAATAATGAATATTATAGTATTAAGGGTAATACAATATCAAACTCATAATCTTATAAATTTGTAATTACATACTCTGTACGTTAATATCTAATCGAAGATTCGTAAAGTTCTCCTATCACTCTTGAGAGCAAAGTTAATCCCCTATCCATAGTCTATTATTAGATTTAATGATTTAGGACAATACTTTTAAATAAAAAATCAAGAATTTTTTATATAAATAAATATATACATATATTTATACAAAAAATTGGGACCACTTCAAAAATGGGCCCTGGCCAGGTGGCCACCTTGCCCACCCTTAGAGCTGCCCCTGCTTCTTATCCTAGCGAGTAGAAAACTTTTATGGCCTGCACCCATCTTAAGGACGTCTCAAGGGTAGTGGGCATCCGTCTTTTTGCGCATCCCATAAAACGCTCATA